CCCCCCACCCCAATTTTTTTTTAAAAGTTTGTTGTTAAAAAATATTTTCAACTTCAAAGATTGTGCGACGAGATGCACGTGTGGTACACGAGATGCACGTGCGGCACACCAGATTCACGTATGACGCACAAGATGCACGTGTGGTGAACGAGATGCACATTTGGCGCACGAGATGCATGTGTGGCACATGAGATGCACGCGTGGAACATGAGATACATGTGTGGCACACGAAATGCCCGTATGACGCACTAGATGCACGTGTGGCACACGAGATGCACGTGTGGCACACGAGATGCACGTATGACGCACAAGATGCACGTGTGGCACACGAGATATACGTTTGGCGCACGAAATTTGCTTTTGTTTTTTTTCATTTTTTTTGGGGTTATCTAATTTCTAAGTTTCAAATTTAGGTGTGTTGACAAGGTAGATGAATTTGGTCAATTATTTAGATCCTATGAATTTGGTCAAAAGTTAAATACAATGGGCAAAAGGAGAGTTTGGCGCAGTAGAATAGAGAAAAAATAAAAATAGAAATTAGTTCACTTTTAAGGAAATTCGAATTCACAACATCACATGTGTACAATAAAAATGAGAATTTATTATTTGTCAAGGTTTTATTAATCCAAACATAAATAGTCATGAATTATGCCTAATAGAAGCAAGTCATGTGACAAAAATCAAATTGAAATAGTTTCTTATGACCTTTAAATGCTAAATTAAAGTCTAATCATTCATGCACTAGAGGAAATTCTACCAATACTCTATAACAAGAAAATTTTATTTGAATTTTTTGTACTATCATCATTCTTTTTCTAACAACTAGGTGCAATTGAATTGAGAAAAATATAATAATGTGGTCTACATCATGCTCTGATAGATATCAAATTATACTCATCTACTAATAGATGGAAGATTCAAACATTTTAAGCCTAAAGTTTATGTGTAAAGTACAAAAAAATTATATATGTGGGGGTTAATTACATCATATCATGGAAGTTTCTTCAATTACAAAAATCTCAGTTTTTCATTATTCTCGAATACAATTTTTTTAGTTGTCCAATACATTGCAAATGATACATTACTTAATTGGATGGATGTATTCGAGAGGAGATGAATATATCTGAGAGGGGATAGGGATGTATCCGAGAGGGGATTTTTGTAATTTCTTAAAAATGATAGAAAATTTTAAAGATTATGATATCTTATTGTATATTTATGTAAATTTTCCAAAGTTTATTGGGTAAGAATAGTTTGACATGATTTCCTAAATATGAGGTCTCCTTACTACAACCAGAAGAAGAAAGATTAAATACAATTGACAAAAGGAGAGTTTGGTGCCGTACAACCCAAAAGAAGAAAGATTAAATACAATTGACAAATGGAGAATTTGGTGCAGTACAACCAAAAGAAGAAAGATTAAATACAATTGACAAATGGAGAGTTTGGTGTAGTAGAATAGAGAAAAAATAAAAATAGAAATTTGTTCATATTTGGAAAATTCAGATTCACAACATCACAGGTGTAAAATAAAAATGGAAATCAATAATTTGCCAAGGTCATTAATCCAAACATAAGGTAAAAGTAGCAGTAGGGAATTAAACCCTTAAATTATTATAAACATCACATGTGTACAACTAATATTATCCATAAAAGAATGTTTTTCGCTCCATTTTATAAAAATCATTCGGTAAACTTTCAATGCTACATTCAATAAATAATGGAACTTGTAATAATGAAAATTAATTATTTAAGCAATTATTAATCTTTTTCAGGGTGTAGTGTTAGGCTAACGTCCTCATCAACTAAGTATTCATAATGGAGTATGTAATAATGAAAATTAATTATTAAAACAATTTAAATGCAATTCTTTACCATTTCACAAAAAGATTTAAAATGAAAATGAAAAAATAAATAAGACAAGAAGTGTGAGAAATAGATATATCGTAAAGTGAATTGGTCTTTTGAAGTCTTCTAATAAAAACTTTAATTTATTGATTGAACTAATTGTTAGGATAATTGGGATCATAGGTTTGATCTAGGATTTATAGAATTGTTCTTCTTAAGGTATCCCATGAAAGGGGTGATGATATTTTGTAAGAAAGGTAAGCTAAGTCCGAGGTACATTGGTCCATTTGAGATTATTGAATGTGTGGGACCGGTAGCGTATAGAGAAAAATAAAAATAGAAATTTGTTCATATTTGGGAAATTCAAATTCAAAACATCACATGTGTAAATTAACATTATTTGTTTTTGGTGTCTTCTTCAAATTTCAAACGCTAAAACTAATTAACACTATTTTAATATTATTATATCAACTTATCAAATTCAGCACAACAATACTATTTTGATATCATTATATTTTTAAAATATTTGAATCAAGTTTTATTAATCTAACTTTGTTATTTTAGTGTATCAATAATACCCTTCCAAAATAATCTATAAATAATTTTCTATTATATTTATTTTTTGTAGTGATAAATAAACAACGGGTTAAACAATTCCTTATATTAAATTACCTTTATCACATGTATTAATTTTCACATGATCAACTATGTGACACTTCCAAGAAGTATTTGATGTTAATTAACAACAAGAGCCTCTGATCAGGAAAGAACAATCAAAACGGATGAAAGAACTATGTGGCACATGAGATGCACGTATGACGCACAAGATGTATGTGTGGTACACGAGATACACGTTTGGCGCACGAGATGCACGTATGATGCACAAGATGTATCTGTGGCACACGAAATACACATTTGGCGCACGAGATGCACGTGTGGCACACGAGATACACGTATGATACACGAGATGCACATGTGGCACACGAGGGTACGTATGACGCACAAGATGCACGTGTGGCACGCGAGATGCACGTTTAGCGCACGAGATGCATGAAACTAGAAAGGGATAAAAAAAAAAGTGTTTTCAACGGGCCACGACAATTGGTACTTTTCAAGATGCTCAGTTAGATTAAATTGAGTGTGATTATTTCATCGTCTTAGTTCCCACTTTGTCTATAAAATATGCATCACATAGAAACGTATTGTATATGAATTTGAGAGATGAAAAATTGAGTAAAACCACAACATTTCTTCCATCAAACATACATCTTGACAGCAACAACTTACACTATTTCTCCAAGTCTCTTCCCTTCATACCCATATATGATATATGACTGTGTCGTCGTCCCTTAGAAAAGAAGACTGCAAACCATTTGTAGATCAAACTGTCCCATTGCTAAGGAGGAGGATGCCAAGATGGAGAAATAGGCTGAATTGTCTATCAGTGGTTGTGAGTTGTGACTTTGATTTGTGACAAAATGTAAGATGTTGAATAAACAAAAGAGTAAATTTCTTAGACAGTGGTCCATGTTAGAGAATATAGCCAACAAATAATAAAATGAAATATAGTTGGTCATAGTTTATTGTTATTTAGCTATGATTTAACCGTGGCTAAATAACGTTTTTTTTACTTTTTATTAGCCACAGTATACTTTTATTTAATTAGCTACGATTTGATAGTGGTTAAATAACTAACTTTTTTATGTTTTTAATAACTAACAATTAAGTAGTGTATATGTAATGTATCAATATTGTATATATAGTGTATAAACATGTATGGATATTGTATAAATGGTGTATGAACATGTATATATGATGTATAAATAATTATGTAGTGTATATGTAATATATCAATATTGTATAAATATTTATGTAGTGTATATAAAATGTATCGATATTGGATAAATATATAAATTACAATATTATAGTTATATTTTATCAAATATATTAAGTATATACTTTTAAGAGAATTAGATTGATATTAGTTTGGATTTTTTTTAATTTAGAGTTGAAGTTTAGCTAGTAGATAGAGTTGAAGTTTACTAGCTAAAGTAAGTCATTTTAAGAAATTTACTTAAATAAATATGTGACAAATGATTACAAGAGGAGTTAATAGTTCCTAAGCTACACCATCTCAGGAATGAAACAAGATATAACATAATGTTTAATTATATCCTTCATTTGGTTCTTCTTTGCCTGATATTATTAACTAACAAGTTATTAATGAGACTTGAATACAAGTGAGAACAAACTATTGTTTCTCACTTTAAAATAATAACGCTAATTAATTAAGGAAGCATGTATCGAAGTAGGAAAAAATAAGTTATCTCAGTTTAATTAATGCATTAATTACTTTTAGTTTACGTTGCAAATTTAACATGAAAACAAAAAACATACTTATTGCCAACTTTATAGGAACTACCGAGAGGTGTTGAACAAATAGTGTAACAATATGTTGATGTTAATGTGGGAAATGAGTCCACTATTTTGGACCCTTTTTTCTTTCCTCTTCTTTGCTACCTCTTCTCACGCTCACACTAAAGGTTTATTTTCCCAATATTTACAGTATTAATTTTGAACCTACTATTAGATAGAAAAAAAAGATAGACGTAATAATTTCATTTTTTTTTAATTTCAGCTGAGCTAGTATATGATCCTTCGGCATGGACAGAGGTACTTTGACAATTCTAATTTATACTACGTCTGAATTCCAAATAAGTTGGCATTAATTATATGAATCTTCAGTGATCGTGTTTATTCATTTAAATCTATCTCGATTTATAAACAGTGTCAAATGAAACCAGAGTTGCCACTTTACAATGGAGGAATACTAAGAAACAAACTTCATGTATATAAGCTGACTGATGATATTAATGGGGACAACGTTTATTCACCTACTTTTTCCTTGGAAAATTTTTCTCCAGCCTCAATTTATTCCTTCTCCAGTTAAGTTTCTTCTTAGTATTTACTACTCGTGCAATAAACAATCAATATCAAAAAAACTAATTGTAGAATATTGGTATTCATATCTTGTTTATACAATCAAATCAAAACTAATTAAATTTTTGTATAATATAATGTCTTATACTAGCTATACGATTTATTTTTAACAAAATTGGTATTTGTACAGGCTGGGTGAGAGTGAAAAATGTAGATTCTGCGCTGGTAACAGCTAAATTGAAGCTAGACAATCAATATCCAAAATGTATAGGAAGTGTTGTTGCCAAGAAAGGATGTTGGTCTTTTCTCAAAGGTGGTTTCCTTTGGAGCGCACCTTCCAATTCCTTCCAGATACATTTGACGGTATATTAAACATCTTTTCTTCGTCTTACCTGATTCATTTTCTTGAAAGAAAATTTTCATTTTTTTGTAGAATTCAGATGTATCACAAAGAAACGTGGAAATAGAGATTATTAACTATTCCTTACAGCCGTTTACAGAAAAGGAATGGAGATTCAATCAATTTGAAGGGATAAAAACGGCAAGAACTAAGCGCACTATATGACTCGATTAAGTGTACACCTATGCAAATTTCAGTTATGACATAAAATTTAGTTATATTTCAGGAAAGAAAACGAGCTGTTACGATCCATGTTGTAGATGAAAATGGAAACAGTTTGCCTAATGCAGCAGTCAAAATAGATCAAATCTCAACGGATTTTCCATTTGGAACTATGATAGCAAGTACCATTGTGGGAAATTTGTCTTATCAGGTCTGTTTTTTTCTTTCAAATTTGTCTTATGATGTCGCAATTGATCCTTGTCACATTAAAGAGAGAATAATGTTATTTCAGGAATGGTTCGTCAAGCGATTCAAAGCAACAGTTTTTGAAAATGACCTCAAGTGGTACAAGACAGAGCCACTGCCTGGAGTATTCAACTATACCATAGTGGATCAGATGATGCAATTCGTTCGAAAGAACAAACTTTTAGTTAGAGGACACACCATGTTCTGGGGAAACCCAACGATGATACAAGATTGGGTCGAAAACATGACAGTTCCTCAGCTACAAAAAGCAATGGATGGAAGAATTAAAAGTGTAATGAGTAAATACAGAAATGAGTTTTTTCACTGGGATATAATCAATGAACTCCTCCATTTCAATTTTTATGAGAAAAAACTCGGTCCAAATGCTACCTTGGATATGTTCAAGAAAGTTCACCGCGCAGATCCACTAGTAACCCTATTTCTCAATGAATACAACATTGTTGAAAATTGTGACCCGAGAATCAACGTGGACATGTACATTGAAAAGTTCAAGGAACTCAAGAAAGGCGGGGTTAAAGTGGCTGGCATTGGACTACAAAGCCATTTTAGCGCGGTGAACCCTGCTTTCATGAGAGCTGTTCTTGATAAGTTGGCAACTTTAAAACTTCCTATTTGGCTCACGGAAGTTGATGTTAGCAATATGTATAAACAGGAAGAACAAGCTGTATACTTGGAGCAAATTTTAAGAGAGGCGTTCTCACATCCAAGTGTGAATGGGATCATGCTTTGGTCAGCTCTTGGCAGAGGAGGTTGCTATCAAATGTGCCTTACAGACGACAAATTCCAAAACTTGCCAACGGGGGATCTTATTGATCAGCTTTTACTTAAAGAATGGAAAACTGGAACTAAACGTGGCAAAACAAATGAGTTAGGTTCCTACAATTTTCGAGGTTTCTTAGGTGAATACAACGTTACAGTCATTTACAATCGTAGTATCACCCATTCCTACTTCTCATTAGGACGTGGTGTCGAGACTAAGCACATTACAGTTCATGTCTAAATATAATGTATCTCTTAAATACTAAACAAGAATAAGACTAATTTGTATATGCTTGAACAAACTAGATTGATCCTGGTATTGTTTCAAATTTTGAGATTACCATCTATAGAGGTTATATTTCAAATTAATTTTCACATAGTGTATTTGACTTTGATCCCCACACTCAAATCACATCTTTGGTTTCATTTAATTTTGCCTTACATATTTGCATAACCTCATGTCACCTTATAGACAGAGGAAAAAGATTAAGGATTTAAAGGATGTGTGTAACATCCGGCAAATTGAAATAACTAGGAAGAGGCTTAGAATTTGAAAATTTTCATTTTTGGAAAGAATTTGAAAATCTGGAAAATTTTGGCCAAGTATGGAAAAGGTGAGTTTTTGGCCAACTTTTGAACAGCCATAAATTCTAGCTCAGGATGATTTAGGTGGAGTTCCAGTTATGGTTGCGAGGTTCGTAGAATGATCTTTCCAACGCCACCGAGTTTTCTCGATTCCGAGTTCGTATGAGCGAGTTATGCCCTTTGAAAGTTGGGCAGTTAAAAGGGTCTTTTCATAAATCATTTCTTTTGAGGTTATATTGTTGTGTTAGGCTGATTGTGGATCATTTTTGTTCCATTTTAAAAGAGTAAGAGTTAGGGTTCTTGAGTGAAGAAGAGAAAGAAGAGAGGAAGAAGAGGAGTTGGAGCTAGGGTTGAAGATTTCTTGGTGTTTCTTCTTCAAATTTCTGTTGAAGTTTCTTGTTGGTTTGGTGCATGTTCCCGGATGGAATTATGAGTTGAATCTAGTGTATATTGAGGGTTTTTAATGATTCTAAGTGATTGGGGAAGAAACCATTCGATTTTAGGCGAAATAGGGTGAGAAAACGAGAAAATGAACATGCTGAAATTTCTGGGTTGGGGGCCTGGCGCGACGCGCCTGCCAAAGCGCCCCAAACTCATCTCTGAAGTTTTAGGGCTAGCGCTCCGCGCCTTGCAGAGCGCCAAGACCTCTCTTTTATCCCCCACTTTCTTATGCATGTTCCTAGGTATTGTACCTATGTTTCCTAGTTGTTTCCAAC